TAATCCTTTGATTAATTTCCGATTGTAAAGTCAGTGAGGAGAAAGAATATCTCATATCTCAATATAAATATAATAAAAAAGAAAATCCGCCTTTCTTCCCAAGTAAAGGGCCCTTTAAAAATAAAGCAGAATTGGATCTTGGCAATTCAAGAGTGCCTACTATTTTCCTGTGACTCTGGCAATTGCTTTCCAAGGAAACCTTTTCAATACAAGAGAATACAAACCAATTTGTCATTTCTGAATAGGATAAAGTTAGCTGTTTGGCTGAAACAAACCAGTGTTTATCAACAGAGCTCAACTGCTGTGTTATATCCAGACTAGTAAACATGAGGTATGATACCATTGATTACCTGAATGTATGTGGGTGCTTAGCACAAGTGCTGAGTGACTGGTGGAAAACCTGAATTGTTAAGCAAATGGCTTGAATAAATAAAACAACTGGGTGATCTCTCTCATTTTAGTAATCTTTAATTACATTTCTACTAATTTATTTAATGCCCTGGATTTTTTCTGCTTTTCAGAACTTCCAAAAAATAGTGATGTTGGTTAAATTTATGGGCGTTACTAAGAGTTACCCAGAACATACAATCTGCCTCTTGGTTATATGATCACATGGAGTCTGTAAATCCAAGCAAATCAGGTTGCAGGGTTGGAAGCTCCACCTGCATGGTGTCAGTGACATTCAGTGGCAGTGCCTAAGCAGTGACAGTCTATGTTACCTTTTCTTAAGACTGCAGTATGAATTAGGAAATCTGTACTGTCAAAACTAAGTGCTCAATAAAATTTCTGGGACTGTTTCTTAGCTATCCATACAGGCAAGTAAAAATCGTGACCTTGTAAAAAGGATGCCTCTTACAGATTTGACTATGGCTGTGCAGTAACTTTAGTCTTAAAAGATCATCAAGAAACTTCCCCCTGCCCCCACCAAAATAAACTTTTGTCACTAAATAAATAATCCTGACTGGCATTGGCTATCCAAAGCCAGGTTTAGTTTTATGTCCTTAATACATCACAAGTAACAACCCTTCTCCCTTCTCTTATAAAGTTTGACAGTTTTCTTTTATAGCTTTGTACTCAAGACATGGTAATAAATTTGAATTCCAAGCCATTTGCTCCAGTGATCTTTTTAACATAAACAAAAGAGTAGCAAGGAGAGAAACAAAATAAAAGAAACAGAACAAGCAATGCAAAATAAAAGGACTCTAATGAAAGCAGTAACTTACTGTAGCTACTTTCACTATCGCTGGCATTAGAAGAAACATGTTCTGCAAGAACAGTACAGCAAATTAAAGAACATAACCAAGCACCACAGAGCTGCAGAAACTTAAAAGAACTGCCACAGTCATGCAAAGGTAGTTATGCAGAGCAGAAATAAAAGCTGTGCAGTGACATCACCTGCAAATGCTCAGATATTTTACAGAGGTAAAACGAAAGCTTTCTCTCTTGTGATATTTCAGAAAGAGACTGTATGGATTAGCTGATATGTGCCATGGCAAAACCATGTCTTTTTGTGATAGACAGTAAATGACATCTCTGATAACTTCATTTCAGTGTATATTATGGTCAGCTTGGATCTCACTTGATGTCTTTAGTAATTTCTTGAAATCCAAGTGTCTGCTTGTACTCTGTACAATCAGTGATGTGCATCACTTATGCATTGAAACTATTCCTGCTAAACTTCGAACTTGTGTCTGTCTTTAATCAGTGTTCACTATCCCAAAGGACTGTGCAGTGATTAACAGATTAATGAAAGTTATTTTGGTATCAAATATTGTAACTGTATTTAATCTACCCTGTCCAAAAGGGAAAAAAATTAAAGAAGACAAAGCCAATGGAAAAAACTAAGGAAATAAAAGGGAAGAATTATTTTTCCAGAAATTGTCTAGCCTCAGTATTTGAGCTGGAGTTTGAAAACCTTTACAAGACCAGTCTGGATGGGTGAACAGGAATACAAGAACTATCATGATGGGTCAGTGCTGTGGTTTGTCAAGTCAGATGTCCTGTTTCTATTATCATACCTTCTTGAAAGGAAGGTGAAATCTACATCATATAATGTTATTGTTCCAAAACTGTAGTCAGCAGACTATTTATGGACAGTAAGATCAATCTATATGCTCTCCAGGAGGTCTACAGGACCATATTAAACAGTGGTTTCTCTGGTAGAAATGCAGATTATTTTCCATCTGATCCATCTACCAAAGATTATTTGGTAGTTGAAACTTTTCAGCTGGTCCAGGACATTTAGAAACCAATGGCATAATGGCTGTACATCTGGGAACACCCTGGGTTAATGAGGAAGACAGGAGCAGTTCTGAAATTCTCTGCAAGGTGCTGCCTTTCCTCCATGTACCAGTCTAATGGCTTAGGGTTCATGGATTGGGAATAATGGGGCTACTGGAGCAGCAGAAATGGGAAGGGATGATATCTGATAAAAACAGTAATGGGAAACCTTGATCATGGGCTTAGTTAGAAGCTTCTAAAACTTTAACTTATATTTTGCAGAAAACAGCATAATAACTTTCAGACATTTCACAGCAAGTTGACCGAAGTAATCTAAAAATAATGTGCTATACAGGACCCTGAACAACTTTATTTAAAAATAACAAATTTCCTTTATAGTAAGAACTGTCATTAAAAAGCATGTCTGAGTTGAAAATTAACAAAATTTGGATGGGTGGGAATGTCTAGGGGTGTTCCAGTTATTTAAAACTAGGTACAATATTAATACAAGCATTACAGCCTATACAATACCTCGGTGCTACTTTGTTCCAGATCAACAGAATTCAGGAAACTTTCAAATGATTGGATGTTATGGAGAATTCTCTTTGTAAGGACACATATTCAGGAGGAAGGTTATCAGATCTGAAGTATTTTACTTTAGCAGGGAAAGATCTGCATTTGTTGCTAATGAGCTGCTATGACACTTAAATGATCACAGAATGGATAAAATTCAGGTGGCAGTGACATTTGCTGTCTATCACTGACAAAACCAGTCTTGCAGAACCTTCTTCCTTGTACAAGAGATAAAGCTTTCATCTTTAAATTGTGAGCCACTGTATGGCATTAAGTTAAACCATTAAAATATTCCTTCAACAATTCAGTCAGAAGCATAATAATCTCCAAAACTGTGTGCATGGATGTGCATTCCTGCAATTAAAAAGCACATACAAAACAGTAGGCAATGCAGCATTAACACACATTTTGCTCCAATTACTTGGTGCTTAAGAAAAGGAAAAACAACTGAGGAACAAGTAGCCAAATGCATGCAAGTGGCATTTTGTTGACATTATTTAGCTCTCAATACAGAATTTAATATAGCTATATATGTAGAAATCAGCAGCAAATATTTCATTCTATACAGTTTTTCTGGTTCACATTTTGAGGAAGAAAAATTGTTTCTAAGCAATGATCTGACACGATATACACTCTGCAATGCCAAGTCTTGAGACAGGATTGCTGCATCAGAAGAAAAATTAAGGTTGTGTGACAGAGAATAGGTTGCTAATGGTGAAAATTGGTCCAAAATTAGCTTTGGAGAATGCATGATCTTCTCTAGCCTGCAAATGACTTCTTCCATTAATAACAAATACTAATCTAAAAATTCAGCAAAGTAACAAACACTCCCATGCAAAAAGCTGAAAATGCAGAAGCAACAGCAGAAACTAATTTTCTGTTGATCTCCTCAGGATGTGATCATGTTAAAATGTTTAAATTTCCCTTTAGATGGGGAGGGAGGGATTGTGGCTGAAAAGAACAGTCTAGGCAGCAGAAGGCATTCTAGGTATGCTACTCTACAGAACTGCCATGATGGGAACAATAATATACTGTCAGAAACGAAAGGTGTTATTATAAAAGAAGTGAAAGTGTCTGCTTGATACACTGTATGTTATTTAATACCGTCATGCAGAACAGAACGATTGAAACATTTGTAATGCATTCACAGCTGGGTAACAAATAAAACTCTATCTTGTGCATGCTAGGAGTGAAGGGTCCTCAGAGAAGAAACAGAAGCCAAAACAAAACAAAACAAAAAAGGGTTTACAGTGACCATTCCTGGGAACTTACTCAGAGTCTTTGTTCCATAACCGTCGTCACCTAATCCGGGGATGTCCTGCACGGAAGTCCCCAGAGAGAGCAATGAGAAAGGAAGAACAGCCGCAGAAGAGGAAGGAAGAAGTCAGTGGAGTTGAAATGGATACTACCATGACTGACCATGTTGATTGAGCAATCTGGATCCTTGCCTTTTCTTTAGGAAACAAATTTAGACCCATATTCTGTGGAAATTCGGCCAAAGAAAGAGGCAGTGACTGTGAAATGTGCCTTTTGGAGCTGTGAGGAAGAAGGAACAGCTAGATAAATAACGTTCCAGAAACTATCCTCACTGGATAAATTTAGGACAGAACTTTTAAGAAAAACAAAAGTGAATATTTGGGCTTGGAACTAGCAAATATTTTTAATAACACTGGTTCCCTATATAATTTAAGCAAGCAATAAATGCTTGTGGTGGAACACATTCCAAGATCCAATTTAGTTCTTTAATCTGTTAACATGGTTGCTTCCTTTAATCGTTAAACTTCCAGTGAAGCTGCCCATGGAAATCAACTTTGTGAAAGTCAAAGTGAAAAAAAACAGATTAGAAGAAAGATTTTAAAAACTAACTAGTTTAGTATTGTGAAAAAAATCACATTTTGAGCCAATTCTGGTCCGGGAATATTTCTGAGAGATAATTTTGGATATATGACAGGTGTCACAACAACTCTGAGGAGCTGTATTTCCGCTTCCAAAAGTTAAGGTCACTGCTTTATTCTTCTGAAAACAGTATTTCCAGAGACGGAAGGAGCAGCTGGATCCAAACTGCAGTCATACACTGGTCACAGTAGTAATACCTCTCCTGCCTGCCTATGACAGATATTTGCCTAGATGTGTGGGATACTGCTATCATGCGTGTCACCCATTTGTTGTGCTGCTGCATGTGACATCGTCTCCAAGAGGTTACTTACGTTCTGGATCACTTGTTTCCTGCTCACTCTGCTCCTTGCTCTTGTAGAATGGGAATTTTCGTGAAAAGATGAAGTTCTTTTTACGCTTGTCATTGAATGACTGTGAAGGAGAAAAGGCATGGGGCAAAAACAGGGACGTCTAATTGTTGTCACACTCATGCTGACAAAACAACTAGTTTGTAAAAGTGGAGAGAACTGTAGTGACTCAAATCAGAACACACTAAGTGGCTGCAAAGAATCAGAGGTGTGGTGAGATCTGAAATTTGAAGGCAAAGCTCCTGAAGACTGGATTGATTTGATTCCAGAGGTCTTAAGTCACAATGTACAGCTCCTTACTTGGAAACTGTTGTGTTTGGCTTGTTTAGATGAAGGGCTACAGATGGTTCAGCATGCTTTGAGATCAAGCCATCCATCTTTAATCACAGCAGACTGTGCACAGAATTAATTAACTGTCTGAAAAGAATTGGCTGTAATATGGAAAGCGGAAGTCTTTGATTTGCCTGTAGTGTGTGGATTCAGCCCTGTGTCAATTAAAATAAAAAATTCTTTGCTGGTAGGTGCTGTTGATTTTATGATTCTTTTTTGGCCTCTTTATCAACAACTTATGTGTGTTTTAATGCTTTTAATGCTTATTAATGCTTAATAAAAAAACCCCATCTTTGTTTTATTTTACAGATGTATATTTATGCATTAGGTTTCTCTGGATATGCTTTTAGCTCTATGTGATTTAGAAATTGAATTCTGCTGATAAACAGTATTTCATTTCATGATGAGCAACATATTTTGCTGTAATTCTTCAAATCAGAAATTAATATTGAAGAAATTGGGGTTTCTTACATGATAAAACCTTTGACTTCATAAACAGTCACAAGGGCATACAGCACTATCCTGTGTAAAAACAGGATATGCTTGAGACATTTATTTCAGAAACTAAGTAAGGAAATAGGGTCCCTATATTTGAATTGAAAGAAAGTGGCATTCTAGAGGACACACAGCTGCAGACAGTATGTGTCTGAAATGATCTGTGCTGTCGGTCAGACAATGACCTATAATGCCTCTTATAATGAACATACACACAGGACTTTGCAAGTAATGACCTCCAAGAGAGCAGAGACCTTCTTAAATCATTTAAAGGACCAATCTCATGTGTTTGCCCTTCCTCAAATTGAATACAACAAGTCTTTGGCTCCAGTTCTGCAATGGAATATATTTAGAGTCTCAGAACACAATTTATTTTCTTAAAATTTGAAATCATGGAATAAAATCTGGTTTAAAATATATATTCTGAAAGATGGATACTGAAAATCTCTGTTGAAATAGTTGGATACTCATGTCACGAAAGTTTCATACCACTTTTACATTTCAAGCATATTTAAAGTTTAGTAACTGAAAACAAAGAAAAAAATGCACATGTAGAATAAATGATCCATGAAAATCTCTCTGAGTATGTAAACATTCAATGTGAAATTAATGTGGAGGTCATGCACAAATAATCCAGACAGCATGCAATTTCAAAACAAAGCAAGTATGAAAGAAAGCCAGAGGGGGAAAAAAAAAAGCACATGAAGGATTAAAGTAATCTATGGATGAAAGGAAGACTGACATGCGATTACATCACTTTAATGACCTAATGGATATAATTAAATTAAAATGTGTTCTCTGTGATAATTTCTTTTAGTTTTCCAAAGAAAGGAATGTAGCATGTTAACATTTCTGTTTGTGAAAATGTTGTTTGTCATGATTTATCTGAATTTGACATAGTAATGCTATTGGCATTACACTTTTAAAGGGAAAATATATATATAAACAATAACACCTCAAAAAGCAAGGGAGTTTTAAAATTACAATCACTTCATTACAGCACTTTGGAGTTCAAGAGCATACTATCAAATTAATAAATAAATATGCTGCGTTTCACAGAAAATATACGAGAAATAACACTTATATATATTATTTCGATTTTTTCCCCAACAGTCTAGAGCAAAAACTTCAGAAAGTACATTTTCACCAGAAAAGCATGTATTATTTTCACGCTTATGCATGATCTAAGAGTATACACCAAATCAGACAGATATTTTATACTGTTATATGTAAACTTTTTCTCCTTTTGCAGTTTCAAGTACTGGGTTGCTTTTTAAATATGATATCATTCCACTTCAATTTGGATGATTAAAATTTGGCAATTCACAGCAGATGACTATCATGTGCAACTATGTCACTGTATTTACACCGATAGAAAGCTTTCTTCCTAAAATAAAGCTGATATGAGTTATATTAATATCCATAACCAAATATGTTTATGCATGGGATAATATTTCTATAGATTAATCAATGTGTATATTCATGTTGATGACCATATATACTGGCATGGTATAGTCAGAGGCTTTATATTTAAAATAACAAAAAAATTGTAAAATATTATAAAACTAAAGTGTGTCTGACTCTGCAAACTTATAGAAATTATTAGTCCTTAGTATTAACTGAATGAGCTTACCAAGTGTTTATTTTCCTAAATTAAGTGCATGTTTATTCACATGGAATCAAAGACAAGAGCCTTAATTTTGGTTTTGTATCCAATAAAGGTGGTATTAAAGTCAGGCTGATGGTCTCCACCTTAAGGATATGAAATCCTGCTGACAACCCCAAAAAAGCCTCTTACAGATATCATGCTTTATGTCTCCAAGGCATAAAGACAAGGGGTTTTGCAAAGAGAGAAGGGGGAATAAAGAATAAAACCATGTTTCTATTGCACACACCATGTTAATTCCAAATTTTGCTCCACTGGTGGAAGAGTAGAGACCAACACTGAGTGTGTATTTTCTTTTTTAAGAAAGGATCACATGTATGAGGATCTGTGGCAAGGTTAAACTCAAAAACTCAGATGTTATTTGAGAAATTTCATTTCAATACAATGGAAACTACTCAAATACTCTGGAGCCATAGGCTCTGTATGCTTCTGGAAAGCTGTGAAATGGATGTAGGATAAATGAGACAGAGGTGTTTGCCTACGTCTCTCCACCTGATACAAAAGTTGCATGCAACTGGAATTGCAATTGTGATAGCAAGCTTAGCCTGATTCAACAGCATTTGTGCAGGAAGAGTTTCTGAAAGTCAGTGCAAAAGTGCTTGAAAATTGATTCCTTGTAAATCACAGGTTCTTTGCCATGATAATGTAAAAACCTATAATAGCAATAACTCAAGCATTTCAATTGCAGTGAATAACCTGTACAATAGATTACTTGTATATGTCACTGCCATCACACAGATCACCACTGACCTAGGTAATGGCAGTAGGAGGCACTTAAAACAGACAAGTGCCTAAGACTAAAAGGCAAATGAAATTTTCAAGTTGTTTGACAACAGAACAGTGACATCATTCACAGCACTTGATCTGTGATGGAAAAGAGTCTCCTCAGAAAAAAAACAGTGGAGGAAAGTGCTCACTCATATCCTGGCTTGAATCCCTGTTTGACACTACTTAAGCATAGACTGTGCTTTGAAGAAGCCAAGAAAAATAATTGTGATGTGCACTGTGCACTGTTGCTTGACCAAGTATCCCCAGATGTCCCCAGTTATGTAAGTCTGGGTTAAACACACCAACCTTCCCTGGTTGTGACAGACATTAAACCGCTGTGTGTTTCTCCTTCTCAAGAACTCACTTGGGTACTTTTCTGTGTCAACATCAGTTTTGTATTCTAAAAGCTTTTCCCTCGGCTCAGCAGCCATATATACGTTACTCATCAGCTAACAGAGTAGTGGTTTTTAAAGGAAATTTTCATGTAACATTAAATAAACAATCCGATTTTAAAATCTTCTTCTAGTGGTAAACATCACAAAAACCAGTTTCAGTAATTTGACAGTTGTACCATACTGCAATAGGCAATTATGTTGTTGTTTACTTTGAGCTTCTTCCCAAATTTTTTTCATAGTGTAGCTGATCCAACCCCTACTTAGTGCAGATGTGCTCTTGACACAGGTTGTCCTCTTTAGGCTTTGCAGAAGATCCTAATATGCTTGGGAAAGATTTTTTATGGTGCTCTAACAGGTCTATTTTCTCAAAGCCAATAAACTCCGAACTCCTTCAGGAATGCTTTCTTTTGCAATTTCATTCAACAAATGCTAATCCTCAGTCATGAGTTGGGAACCAGTGTACAGGACTACCTGAGAGAAAGCTGTTCCAGAGCACTGGCTGTGAAATTCTTTTTTACAGGGTGTAAATGGATTTTATATACCATCTACTTTTAGGCGTGTTTGAGCTATGCTTTAACCTAGTCTTTGTGTTATGTGATTATGTATGTCCGTTTTGTTCTCAGATTGGTCTACCAGTGTATATGAGGAATTAATTTTACTGCTTCTCATCTGCAACGTGGTTTTCTTATTCTTCTTGAATACCTGACTTTGGCCTAAGTTAAATGAAAATCCCTCATGTACTCAGCCTTCTACAAAAATCTGCAAAATTTATTACCAACATTATGCCTCTGCAATCCTTTTCTCTATATTTAGCTGACACTTCTTGTATTAGGGAGATTCATTTACTCATTTGAACACTGACATTAATAACAGATTGGGCACTCAAATGCTATTAAATCCCTATATTTAAATATTTTAATTTTATAGATCTCTATATTATATATTTAAAATCTCTGCCATCATACCAAAAATTTGCACTGACACCAGAAAGAAAATTTTTGTACATTAACCTATACTCACTGTTATTTCTCCTTTGAACTATATATATCACCTCACTGGTTGTATAATGGGCTTTTTTACCTGGCAGTCCCAAGCCATGATGAATTTAAAATCTCAGGTTAAATGACCTGACCAAGTCTAGAGGATTGCCAGTGCAACTGACCCATTCTTGCTTTCCTGATGTAACCCAATGATGTGGCCATGGGTTCACACCCACAGAAAGCACTTCATGGTGTCCGTGCAGACATGCAGAAGGTAAGCCAAGGAGCTCTTAGTGACAGCTGTAAACTTGGCTGTACAGAGATCACAGAGTATTTTCTCTGAGATGTTGATCTTTCATTCTCAGTCTGCACACACAATTATATGCTGGCAAACAGCACTAGCTAACTTCCCTATGACTTTTTATAAGAT